GATTAGTTCATTGCCAGGCCTCTGGAGGTCATTTAGCCATTTAGATCAGCTGTGGATCAAGGACACATCTAAGACCTGCAGGACACCGGCCCTCGAGGCCTGGGGGCCCCTGGTTTAGAGGTTGGCTTTTTGTTAAAATATGGACGTGTCTCAGTCACTAATTCCACATGTACCAGTTATCACTAACAGGGTGTTGACCAGCTGCACTTGTTTAATTCATTCAAGTGTGAGCGAGGAAGATTCAATTCAATTTTATTTATATAGCGCCAAATCACAACGGAAGTCGCCTCAAGGCGCTTCATAGATACAGAGAAAAACCCAACAATCATGTGAGCCCCTATGAGCAGCACTTTGGAGAGCTTGTATCTCTGACCTCGGGTAGGGTGAGACCATCAAATCATGGTTAAACATGTTGGACACACAGCGATAAATGATCATAATATGGAAATCCAACAAAATTCTATATACTTTGCTTCCAAGGAGCCAGACTCTGATTTTCTTTTTTTGTGTTGAAAGTGCTCTTGAGCAATAGTTCAGGCTCCTAACTCACGGCATGAACCTGGGTTGTGTGTCTACACACAAAAAGGCAACTAAGCAGCGAACAAGTTTTAAATTAAAGTCTGTTTAGGCAGCCTATCATAAAACAACATCATTTGTTCCCATTTCTACTTGAATATGGCAAAGATAACACCGTTTAATGTTTTTGCACCAACAAGTTGATTGCCAAAGAGCTCTTAAACATACCTATACTGTTTGGTGTTTCTTAAAAATCAGAGGCCGAATAGAGAAAAGAGTAAAAGCTACAGGACCTGGACACAGGACATGAGACATGCGTCTGGATTGTCAGTTGAGCCTGTTTATCAAAGCCTCCTCAGGAATGATAGCAGAGTGGCTGTCAAGAATTTATTGTTAAGGACGGGAAGCAGGGAGAAAATGCTGAGGTATGCCGAATCACACGAGAACAGGATTGAAAATCAACAAGTCTCATGAAGTGATGAATCCAAACATTTGGCTCTTATTATCATCGCTGTGCACACAGAGGTCTAAAGAGAGGTCCAACAGTGAGTGTCTGCAGCTATCAAAATTAATGGCATTATGAATGAAGAAAAGCACCATCAGATTTTGCTCCACTATATAAGAACTTCTGGAAAACATCCTATTGACAGCAGCATTTTACATTTGACCCCAAACATGCTTCCAGTCCAGGAGAATCATACCTGAAAACCTCACATAACACTGTTCGGAGCTCAGACCTCAACATTATTGAAGCAGTGTAAACAGTGTAAAAGACAGCAAAACATCCAAAGAAGATCTCTGAATGTTCTCCAACATGCCTGGAGAACTACTCAAATCAACTTTATTTACACAGCGCCAAATCACAACAACAGTCGCCTCAAGGTGCTTTATATTGTAAGGTAGCTCCTACAATAATACATACAGAGAAAAACCCAACAATCATATGACCCCCTATGAGCAGCACTTTGCCAACAGTGGGAAGGAAAAACTCCCTTTTAACAGGAAGAAAGAACCAGGCTCAGGGAGGGGCGGGGCCATCTCCTGTGATTGGTTGGGGTGAGAGAAGGAAGACAGGATAAAGACATGCTGTGGAAGAGAGAAAGAGGTTAATAACAGATATGATTCAGTGCAGAGAGGTCTGTTAA